CTGTGTTCATTCAACTTTTACTTATTCGGCGATTAAATAAACGTGTGTATGTGTTAGCTACTGCAGTGTACACAAGAACAAAGAACGGCTCTCAGTGAGGCTTCAGTCCTTAAGTAAAGATCCGTACTACTATATCAATCCGTACTTCTATATCAATATTAAGGATTTATTCATTTAAATTAAATTCCTATTTGTCTCTGAAAACCTCCTTATAAGTTAGTTTTGTCTTATTTCAAGTGTACAAAGATGTTTGGACTAGAAACTACAAATAAATGGATATTGTGTTTTTGCAGTGCTTCTCATTTGGACAAAGTTTAAAAATCTTTCAGAGTAAATCAGTGGAAACTCACAGAGACGGTAAATAACAACAAGAGCAGAGATCAGAAAACTGAGGAGAACCGGCACCGCTCTCTCTGTTCTGGTTCTGGTTCTGTTCTGGGTTTTCATGTTGAGGCAGCAGCTTCACCTGAGGAGCATTTAGAGCAGAACCACATCAGAACCTGGAGACAAACTCACAGAAAACTAACAACATAAACTCTACAGATTAAAACCCCTTCAGGTTTTCTGAGCCATGAGGAAACTTTCCTCCACCGATCAGCGAGTGATAAAATCTCTCCTCTCTTATTCTGCCGTCGCTCTGCTTTTTACTACAGATTTTATTCCCACTGTCACCAGATGCTTCCTTTATAAAGTCCTTTAATGGTTCATCTGTTTCCTCCTCCTGGTTAAATATTTGATGAAAAGTCAGTAAAAATATTCCTACCTGTTTTGTAGTTCTGCTAAAGACTCTTCATGCAGAAATTCGTCCAACTTTAAACCAAACTCTGCGACTGTTTGGAGATCAGAGACTGAACAGGAAAACAACCATGAAGTTCTTGGACTCTTTGTGTTTCTCTGCTTCCTGTCTCACAGCTTTATGTTGAAGAAACTTCCTGTTTGGGCTGAAGCAGGTTTAAGTCCAAGCTACGTCCTGACTGTACAACATCTCTTATCCTAATTTAATTATTCAAACACTGTAGGTTTACTGCTACATTTTATTTTTTAAGTATTTTATTCACTTTATTTAAACTTTTATTTCAGTAAGATCTCAGCAAACAGATGTGGATGTGCTGCCCCCTTCTGGTTCAATTCTGTTTTTTTCCTATTTGATTAATGCATTAAAACTTAATCCGATAGCATTGAATAACCATAAAATTGAAATTACAAAAATAAATTTGCTTAACAGAAATATGCCAGTTTTGAATAAACTCTTGTTTTTCAATAAACCTTTTTTTAGCGTGTTTTATAAATCCTCAATGGAAACACTTTTTTCTCATCACACTATTCTTGCGTTCAGCCGTCGATGTTCCTGTGGGCAGCTGAAGAACAGGAAGCCGCTCTGTCATTCAGAGATATGATGCTGAGAAACTGAACAGGAAACATGATTTCTGTTCACCAACTTATTGATCAGATCATAGAAAATATTGCAACATCTTCAGTCTGCAGCATTTCATAATATACATTTGATTTTATTTAAAAAAAATGCTATTTACTCATGATGCTGATCTGATTTTTGGATTTAGGCCAGGGGTGCCCAAAGTGTGGTCCGGGGGCCGTATGTGGCCCCCAGGCTGTAACTAAAAATTTACACAACTTCGGCCCACAAGCACAGGTTGTTTATCCCAACGGAAACTTTTTGTTTTTATTTATTACAAACAAATTTAAATGTTCTTATAATTTAATATGTTTAATGCAATATAAAGTATTCATCTTTTTAAAACCACATTTTTGCATTCTCTCTGTCTTATGGTGATTAGAAACACATTTATTTAATGACTTTAATTCAAAATTAGACTTAGGCGCACCAAAACCTACTTTTAATTTATTAAACATCTAAATATGTCAAAATACAAAAAGTGACTAGAATCCGGTTTTTATGGCTGACTCCCACAGTTTGGATGCCTTTCTCTTAAAGACAAATGTGCAAAGTACTTTTTCACTTTTGGAGAAACAATGATCTACATTGCATCCCCATTATTATTAATTTGTCTGGTTATTATTATTATATCCTTAGTTTATTGTTGAGCAAGAAAAATTTAAAATAATATATTTTTGGATATATTTTCGTTATGCCATCACAATGTTTTACCATGTGACAAAAAGTTTGGACATCCTGATTTAGGCGTTTATTTTCCTGTTTGTTTAGCCTGTAGTTCCTGTAATGGCCTCTAGATGTCCTCGGTTACTCCAGTTATTGCAGCTCCCAGTTCCACCAGCTGTTCTGACCCAGTTGCACCAGTCACTCCTCCCTACTGGTGTTCAGTTATGATAAATGTTTTGTTTGGATTTTGAAGCATAATGTTCATAATAATAAAGGAATAAAGGATTAATAACATTTATAGCAGCAGGATTTTATTTTCTATTCTGTTTATTTATAAATCTCCAGTCAGCAATAACACATCATCTGAAAGTACATTAAAGGTCTAAATTTAAATCTGATTTTTTGCATCTTAATTCAGTCCAGACAGAAAGAAAACGTCTTAAACGTTTGACTTTGTAAAAACAATCACATTTCTGCTGGTTTCTCACAGATACTTTTGAGTTGAACACGACAGGAATGATCATCCCAACTCTTCAGATCTACACTGTTTCCTTTCTTGTCCATCCTCCCACAGTCCTCTCCTGCTGGGTTCTGACCGGCCCAGTTGTTTGGTTCTCCATCAGACCAGAAACTTAAACTAAAGCAAAGAAAAAACCACAAAACTATAGCAACGAAATGCGATTTTAAGCCTTAAAAAAAGATAAAAGAACTGAACAAATTTATCAAGACCTGGGGTCCAGAGGTGACCCGTCCACCCAGAACCATCGGCCTTCTGCCTGTGAGTCTGTCAGTCCGATCCAGAACGCGTCTGGAGGCTTCTTCATTTTCTCCTTCAGTTTAGATTCCAGAAACATCTGGAGATGATTAAAAAAGCTGCATTTCCAATGACCATGATGGCAAATTGGAAGCACAAAAATAAATTTGCTCAATGGAAACTCAATTTAAAGAGAAAACTCTAGTTTTTTTATAAAAAGCTTCTGTGCTAGGAGGAGGTGGTTTTTCAGGTGTATGGAAATTAAAGTATTTTGCAAAACTGCAATAAAAACACTTTTTTCCATCATGAGTCACATGACCAAAGAACCGGATGTTACTACTGGAGGAAACGATGAAGAAGACGACAGGATGCTGTGCCTTGTTCCTCCTACAGGAAGCAGGATAATTGTTTAAAGTCTTATTGAGTGAAGCATTTTATTCACTTATGATTCTTTTGTGGAATATCAACAAAGTTTTGCACACATAATGGATACACAGCTAATGACTGAGATCTTTCTGTGCTGGGATGAAGAAACATGATGATGTAATAAAATTAGTAAGAACATGAACCTGCAGTAGCTGCACTTCCGAACAAATTGTCATAAGGTGGTGGTTTGATGTGGTGAGGATTGACGCTGAGACCCACGTGAAGATGAAGAGTTTAATGATGAAGGCTCAAAACAGTCCAACACAGGCAGCACGGCCCTGGTTGGAGGTGAAGGATGAACCTCCAACCAGGATGGACCTCCAAGAGGAGAATATTCGGCAGCAGATGAGTGTTGAAGGTCATCGTCTGAATCAGAAGGGTAGAGCTGAATAGCCACATCGCATTCCGTGATGAGCTGAATTTAAAGATTTGTAATCGTAGTGTAGCGCTCTCTTATATCTATGTTGGATATA